CGCTATTGCTAACAACCACAGCTGGAGTTCCGAAACCAGGAAGGAAAAGGAATCATACTGGATACGCCGCCTTAGAACATTGAAACCAAGCGGTCTAAACCAAGAAGACTAGATAATGAAAACTAATCACTAGTAGAATTTAACATTTTCTAAATCTTCTTATTATCCTTCAATTTTTACTATAAGAATAACCGGTATAGAATCAAATATCCGGGATATAATCTGCGATACAGATATACAAAAAGTAAAAATGGATGTCGCTTTGGCTTGTAGACGTTTAGGGAATTATACAACGTTTTCAGTTACCGCAACTAGTCTATACAAGCTGGTTGTATTTATAGTTTTAGCACATGTGAAGACAGCCATGTAGAGGTTTACAAACACATTTTTGTGTTTATTTGTTTTGTCGTATATATGTTTTGTATTTGCCTTTGCAAAAGACTCATTAAGGGTCGAAAGCGCTTAGGCTAGTTAGTTACTAGTTTCGTACTGTTCGTCGTTAGTTTATTGCATCTATTTTAATTAATCCCTGACACACGTGATCCCTTGGTGGATCCAGTACGCTTGAAAGGGTTGTTATTCGCCATATGATTTGTATTCTTTTTATATATATATATATATATATATATATATATATATATATATATATATATATATATATATATATATAAATATATATATATATATATGTGTGTGTGTGTGTGTGTGTGTGTGTTGTATTCTTCGCTCATCAAAAGGACAGATGTAACACTAACTTCATACCCCTATTTAGCATGAATTTATTCGAAGAAACCCCTTGCGTATACTCGAATACAAACAGAGTATAAAATCGTGATCCATCTTTTAGAATATGTGAATTGATGTCAATGCAATACATCGAATACAATCATTTTTTTTAACCATTCATTCATTTCTCCAGTTCTGTTGAATTGTGGTAGTCTTTCAGGAGAAAAGTTTGTCCATCAAATAAGAAAAACCAACTTTAAGTTATTAAACAAAAGATCAAAACGCACAAAGGTTCAGTTTAAATTGCTATATGTATCAAGGATTGTATCTATTTAGAACACTGTTCTAAATTGCTCTATGTATCATGAACGCTTTGGGATTGTATCTTTTTAAACACTGTTCCACATTGCTCTATATATCAGAAACGCTTTGGGATTGTATCTATTCAAAACACTGTTCCAATTACTTTAGCCATGATGGAGATATCTCGTATTGCATGGCTCATTTACGCTTGTTTGTCCGATTTTATCATTTTAATTTTGTTTGATATTGCTGAAACCCGATGTTCATATCTAATTGATGTTTATATCTAACTTTACGGCATTCTGAATAAATAAATTCTCACAATTGATATTTTTGATTAAACTAACAGTTCGTATTCTATTAACTCATCGCCTGCCAGGATGACGTCTTAGAAATTAATATGCAGTTTGGGAAGTATGACGTTCTTACTTGCAAAAATACTTAGAAAAATACTTCTGCGCTAGTACAGAATTTAATTAATGGCAGCACAAATTCTGTACAGTATTTTTGTGCATCTTTATTGGTTGCCAATTAAAAAGCTTCCTATTTGCCTTACCAGATATGGGAGTTTCTTTTGTGACAATCAGGTTTGTGTCTTGACCTAAAATATTATTCAACATTTGGTGAACGAAACATTATTAATTTTCTTAAATAGTTTTATTTCAAAAAATGACGTTATACTAATGCAACAATCGAGAAAAATAGGGTTATTATAAGGGGGACATAATCCATCATCGATGCTTGTATAAGATGGATAAATGAAAATAAATAACTTATATCGTGACAGCTTAAAATCTTTTATTTATGTACACAGAAGTCGACATCTTTACATGGTCATGCAGCCAGAGTACTTTGTTATCAACAGAGACACTCATTTCCTGCATGCGCATCACACCAATAAATAATCTAGGCTTTGGATTGTGTTACATGGTTTACTTTAATTCAATTGAAAGTTAGCCACTGTAGCTAAAAGCACGTCTGAATGACTGATATTGGCTATGATGTGTTAATCTGAAGGCCGCTAATGGACCTTTTAAGCTATCTGCTATGTTGCAATCTATTCCAATACTGATACAACCTTGAAGAATCAATAAAAGATTTATCATCTAAAAGTCTTTTTCTTTTCCAATTTTATGGAATACATGGAGTTGAACGTTACATCGAGGAAGGACTGTAGCTGACTAAAACAAGCTGATTTTTTGAAATGTTAAATATCCCAAGGGATAGTAGGCTGTTTCAGTTATTTCATTTGATAATAATACTGTCTTTGTCTTCATGTTTCATATTTACAATTCCTCGTCTTTTATATTCTCATCGATAATTTTATTTCTTTTCTGAGACAAGAAAAAAAACATAAATATGTAAATTCATGCAGGGGGTCTTAAGACGGAGTTCTACCTGTTTAAAATAAAACTGGATAAATGCTAGACAATTTTTCCTGTGGTAAATACATCTACAATGATCACATGTGATATTTGATTATTGGACAACTGATTCTTACATGTATAGGTCAGTGGTCAGTCCTGTTCAGTACAAATGTGTGATCTGGACGCATCTTGCAAAACTGACATTTTAACAAACCTATTATTTGTGCATTAAGGTGGGAAAATATGCATATCCTGTCGATATTTAACTTGAACCAATGTGTTCTTTTTATATACAATAGTATTTTAATTTAAGAATTTTAAATGAATGTATTAAAATTCATTCTAAGAAAATCCAGTCCAAATTACCAAACGATTATGTGGTGACTATTGTAGTTGTATGTGTATATTAGGAGATAACAGAGTAAACAAATTCATTCTTATTTTAGAATTGGGATTTAAAAAAAACAACACAAACGCCGATAATTCCGTGTAACTAGTTTCGCATATAATATATGCTTCTTCAGGCACAATATGTTTTAAAATAAAAGGATGACGTCTTTACAGACTAAAATAACAATTACGTCATTACGTAACTTCATAAGAAATTACGTCATTAGGTAACGTCATAAAAACAATGCATAATCACAAAAACTATATTATATATATATATATATATATATATATATATATATATATAATATATATATATATATATATATATATATATATATATATATATATATATATAATATATATGACAGGATCCAAAAGATACACGAGTCTCTAATGAAACCTGAATCAGTAAATTAATAAAATAAAAGAGACAAACAGTCATACATACAATTATAACGTTATAAAAGATATACAATTTCACAACTGAAAAGAAAATTATACAATTTTATATAATACATTTGTATTACCTTGTTTCCTAACTTGTTAACATGTTAACTTGTTAACTTGTTGTTTGTTGTTTACTTTGTATCCTAATGGCCTCAATACCAATGTATTATATAAAATTGTATAATTTGCTTTTCAATTGTGAAATTGTATATCTTTTATAACACTATAATTGTATGTATGACTGTTTGTCTCTATTTTATTTTATTATTTTACTGATTCTTATTTTAGAGTCATTCTTACTCTTTGTGTTCTTGTAACTTCAAGTCTGCAGACGTGTTGTGTGTTGTATTTATATGTCATTTGAAAGGACAATAAACATAATTTAGGATTATTCAGAGGAAGAAAAAATTACTCATTAAATTATTATATTATTCTGGAAGTATTGTAAATTATTTAAAAGAGTTCTCAACGACGTCATTCTAATAACGTCACTATTCTTGGCTACCAGTACATTTCAGTTTCTGACGTTTTCACGGAACGTTTAATTTTCTGGACTTCAATAGAATTTTTCATGTTTTGAATTCACTTCATAATACTGAAACTTCCTCTCACATTTTTCATCATAACTTCATAATTATTTTATTTCTTAACTTTTACAAAAGTTGTTGGCTTTGCTTTTATCTGTTACAGTTATATAGAATTGTACTCTGATTCCAATGTGCACCTACTCATTACAATTGTACTCTGGATTCTATTGCGCACCTACTCATTCGAAACGTGGTCAAATTATGAGATTTTCAGAATCTTTCGATAACACCTTATATCTAAAGCATTATTTTTTTTTCAAGTTCTGCTGTGAGAGTGTTTGTTTCACATGAACATAGGAATATGTACAGGACGATAGGGTGTGTAAGATTTATTTTTAACTCGAACGTGATATTTCTGTAGGCTTCAGACTAGACAGTCAAGCTGTTGTTTGCGCAATCTTGGAAAGAACCTAATGTTTAGAACCTTAAACAGAGGCGACAGGACAAGGGTAACTGAACCGTGTCACAATGCCCAGCTTCGGTCCATTCACTCTTATTTATTTGTCATTAGACTGGGTTATATTTTAGCGATCATCTCATACTTTAGTGATGCTTGGTGAGTCGGTTCACTTAGGCTTCCAGTTTTTGTTTATCTACTGTTCAGCCATCGATATCATTAGCGAAACGCATGTTCATGATTCTTCTGCTTCTAACACCGACCCTGCCATTGTTGTCTTCCAGTGTATTATAAATGATCCGTTCCAGTTAGATGTTGAGTGGGTGAGATAAGGCAGGGTGCCCAACTGTGGTGTGGAACCAATTTTCTATATTGTCATACAGTAGCCTTGACATTCATGTTTTATATGGTGCTGACTAGTTTGCCGTTTGTTTTGTATATCCGCATTGTAAAATCACACAGCTGCATGTCATACCTTGTCAAAAGACTTCTTGAAGTCAAGACAATGTATGTATTAACCCTAAAGAAATCTTGAACAAGTGGTGTGGTGTTTATAAGTTTCAACGTAGCTTTTAACAATTTTTCAGTCATATCGCTACGATGTCTGCAATGTGGCAGTTTATAGTGATGTCTAGCACTGGGACATCATTCAGACATGTAGCATGATGTCCCACCCAGTCACATTATCCTAACACCAGGCTGACCAGTCATAACACTAACCTCTTAATGCTGAGCGTCAAGCGAGGCAGCTGTTAGTACCATTTTTGTAAGTTTTTGGTATGACTCGACCGGGGATCGAACCCACGACCTCCCGCATCCGAGGCGGACGCTCTAACCACTAGGCCACCGGAACAGTTAATCTTGAACAAGCATAGTTGGTTAAATATTATAACACTCTGGATTTGTGTATATTCTCGGTTCATATTTTGAAACTTCACGAACAAGTGCTTTGGAACGTTGAAAGCGTGTTGTATACATATTTGTCATGCAAAATTGTCCCTTTATATCGCATCTTAAATTTTGAGAATTTGACGTGTGCAGTAAATGACAATGTTGACGTGTGTCCAGATCGCATACAAATCATAAACGGATTTATATCCGCACTGAATAAAGCGAAAGCAATAACCTAGTTTTATGCTCGGGTGAGTATTTATAAAGCATAATAGTCGGCCCTGAGAACGTTGCATAATTATCGCGGTATCTGGCTTGTCTGATAATTGCCGTAGCAATGTTAATGTTCACAGGAATTTCTTCCATGACCGCCATCTAGTTTTATTGATCAGATGGTAATCATCGAGGTAACGCTTGGAGCATTGTTTGCAACTACGTGCTGCATCGCAGATATCATTTCGAAAATAATATTCTCAGAATTTCTCATCGAAATACGAACTTCATTAGATATATACATTTTCGATGTCTTATGTATTTCCATGGTTCTACATACAAACTTCTCCTGCCCCAAGATATGTGTGAAGAGAAAACTTTGACAAACCAATGCAACCTCATTAATGACTCCTGTTTGTGATGGTCGCCATTCCACCAAGACCTTCTCACTGTACACACACACACATAATAAATATATGTATGTATATATATATATATATATATATATATATATATATATATATATATATATATATATATATATATATATATATATATATATATATATATATATATATCCCGAACTCAAGGTCCAGCCTTAGAGTTAGTGCAATTTGACATGGGAATTACTAGTTTTCCAGAACATTATCTGACGTAATAGCTCAGATGATTACGTATGCATACGTATACATACGGTAATTATTAATATCTTAGATCCGTGTCTGGAATCTATTTCTTATCAGAGATTATATTTGTGATCAGATATAATTGAAGAGGAAGCATGCTTGGAATCTTGGAATTATTGAGAACACATTCAAAGACACTTTATATTGCATGATCTGGAACATCAGGACATTCAAAACTATTCGAGTTCATTCGGAACGTTGTTATACCTTTGGACATATGATAGGATATTTAGAATGATATGGAATTTAATTAACTATACTGTGTCTCCTAATTTATTGTATAGTATTCGATATCTAAACCATCGTGAAACTTGAAATACAATTTTGTTCTCACACCAAAAGAAAGGAAGTTAATCGATTAAGTGCACATACAATGGCTTTCGATAAAAATCCTTGCCATTAAATCAAATACCATGTTTCTCCTTGTTTCACCACAAACTCTCTGAATATCTGTGAAATATGTAAAGAGCACGAACATTAATTTGTCGGAAGGTTCAGAGCTAGAAATTGAACTGACTCTAGACTAGCCATTAGAACTACATCAATGACAATATTCAGCACTTATCTGCATTGAGAAACTTTAGCCACTTACATGTCAATGAAGTGATTTAAAAATGGATGGAAATTGTATATGTCCTTGTTCTATTGTAATGAAATCATCAAAATAATCATACAATCTTTTATAATTTTCTTACCTTAAGGTATATTAAATACGACATCTCAATTAATAAATGAAACTTTTTCTTGAATTAAACATTACCTTTAATAGAACAATACATTACAAAGTCACGTTCTGATAAAATGTTACATAAATTAATTGAATTTTTTCAGCATAAAAAATATGTAATACACTCAGGATAGCTTTAATCGTTGCATGCAAATGTACAGCAGTACTACTTGAATGTGTCGTGCGACCGTGAAATATAACAAAAATCAACAAAATGTTGTCGGAATAAAGACTTTGTTTCTGACCTTCAGAGCGATCTGCTCGGTACATTTGTTTTAAAATAATAACATTCACAAGGTGCCTTCCGTATGAAAATCGATCGATTCTGATTTATATGCTAATGCTTTCTCTTTGATTGTTTATTTATTGCTTTATAATACAGTTTCAGGGGGACGTTTATCCACCGTGACCAACCACTAACAGTTACGGGATAAATAAGTTGCACGAATCCTTTCAGCTTTATATGTGAACCGATCTAACAGCTAAACTTGACGGCAAACAATGATAAAGATTAAAGGTGATCTAACGATTAGTCAGTTATGAAAGTCGCGATTTTCCACAAGTCTAATTATTAAGGAACGAGTATTGTGTGTTCTTCCCTTAACTGATCTGTCACTATTAAGATATGTTGGCTGGTTGACCGTCTTACCAAACAGACGGAAAAGTGTTATATACTATGATCATCTATTGTACAAGTTACTTTTTCATGTTGCATGTGATTAATATTCTACTCAAAGGTGTTTCAGTGTGTTTGATTATCTTCATTATTTTAATAGATTGCGACATAAAATACTTATTCATCAATCAATTCATGTCTTTCACTTCAAAGCTGTAAGAAGTTTCCAATTGTTCTTAAAATACCACTTCATCTAGTATTGGTAATAGTTAAGAACGAATTAATATTTAAGTAGGATAAGACCTGCTTTTTTTGTCCATTAGAAGGTAGACTCAAGATGTAGTTCGTTGTGAATGACAAAGAAGTGGTGCCGTCTGAACACAATCCTACAGAGGAGTCTTAGCCAGATCAAGTATTCAGAGTGCAATTTTCAGCTTTAAATCAGATCGTCATTATTTGTAAGTAAAAAGGGAAATCATTACCTCGTAAATAGTTTTCTTAGATCAATGCAATAACATATGCAAAAGCATTGGAACTAAACTAAGAATTCAATGCAGCTGTCACTGCATCGTTTGAATCCACACGAGAGACTTGCTAATTTTAAGTAAGTTACATTGTGCTATTATTCAGTATTAAAAAAGACTTATGAATGCTTAGAATGTGTGTGTTATATCTGATTTACATTGTTAACGTATCTTTAACTAGTTTTCAGTCATATCGATACTATGTCAGTAGTGTAACAGTTTATAGTGATGTCGGAGCACTGGGGCATCATGCCGCAAACATATGACATAATGTCTCCCAACCATTCACATTATCCTGACACCAGGCCAGCCAGTCCCAACACTAATCTCTTAATTCTGAGCGCTAGGCGAGGCAGCTGTTAGTACCATTTTAAAAATCTTTGGTATGACTCCGCCTGGGTTCGAACCAGCGACTTTCAACATCCAAGGCGGACGCTCTAACCACTAGTAGGTTCGATTGATTAGAATACACAGCTTTCTTTGTCTGATTCTATTAGAAAGACTTATATTTTCCAAAAAGGATCATGTAATTTGTAGGACGATGATATGATGCATATTTTTAAATATAAGTTATATATATATATATATATATATATATATATATATATATATATATATATATATATATATATATATATATATATATATATATATATATATATATAAAGTACCTAAATCAACTTTCATTAAGAGGTTTCGTTGCGTCTGGTATGCTCGTTTCCTAACGTGTTTTCTTTCTTTGAAAATATTTTTATTCGTTGCTGGTTGAGTTCAGGTTGAATAAAAGTTATTCTCTATAATACAAATTACATACGAGACAATTCCTATAGTAATGTTTTTAAACGATGCATTTGGGAATCAGAGTTACTAGGGAATATTTTTTTAAATTCTCATTCTTGTCATTTTCCTAAATCGATAAGAATTAATTCATTTTAAGTTTTAAAATACTAGCACGTGTCCCATTTGACTTTTTCGCAGACAGCCATCATCATGGGCCTCATCCGAGCTGTGTCTGAATATACCAGTTTTAGCCCACATTTTGTACGTCAGGTTAAAGTTATCAGCAACGGTACCAAAACTATTTGGATTACTTCGTGAACGGATTGCATTTTTGTTTAATCTTCAGAATCTATCATAAAACTTAAATGCATAAGAAATTATTGTGTTCAAACCTCGGTTAGGTCCGTGTCCAAACTTCTATTAGGTCAATGTCCAAACCTTCATTAGGTCCGTGTCCAAACCTCGATTAAGTCTGTGTCCAAACCTCGATTAAGTCCGTGTTTTAAAACGTCAGTTGGCAATGCTGTTCTGTTCCGTGGCATCTATCCGCTGATATTCCCCCTACTTCACTTCAGAAAGATACTTTTTGTAGATATTGAGTTCAATGATGGTCGTTTAAATACCGGTTGATCAAATGTCTCAAAGCTGGATTTTGCCGTAGTAATAAGTTTGCATACTTCTGCTATTATGGCGTAGTGTATCACTGTGTTTATTTGTTGTATACGTGTACTTTATTGACGTTATGTATCACAATGTTTGTGTGGTTTTTGAGTGGTGGGTGTAGTTTTGTTTTTGCATAATTGTACTTTTATAGCCAATCATATCACAATGTTATTTATTTTGCGTCTGTCCTATAATGGCATTGTGTTTAATATATTTATATGCCTGCAGGTTTATAGGACACACGGTACTAATTGTATTGAAAAATGGGAACCAACATTGAAATGGGTAAACTTTAAAAAGAGTATATTCGGGTTTGGGTGACCAGGATTGATTAATAATGTATGTTATGATTTAGGTAAAAGGAATTTTTTGAAACCTTATCCTAGGTAAAAGTGAATAAAAGAGAGACACTGTTTTATTGATGGAATTTAAGTTCTTTAATAGTCTTGAGTTTGGAACATTCATTACTAAAATTAGCGGAATTGAAAGCACATGCAGCTCCAGAAAATGCCGAAGCTCATTTCATTTCCTCTGCGCAGAAGCTGACTTTCAGGCTTCATCTATACTGATAAATATAAGTTTAGTCTTGAGCACTCCAAAATTATGCTATTGAATTTTAATATCATGGTGTTTGCATAGGTTTACTATGGGAACTGAATTAGTACCGTGATTCCTATAGGCGGATGTGTTTTTATGCATAACGTAGGAGGAGACGGATGGAGGCAGGAGGCGATGTGGTGATGTGAATAGCGTGCTG